GTGTGTAAACTTGACCTCCGCCTAGGGAAAATGAGATATAAAGCAAAATAGTTGTGCAGATACATACAGGGCGGCAATCAAGTATTGACATTAGAGCAGCATGATCCCTCACAGATCGCTCAATTCTGGCATCGCTTTCTGCTGCATGCTTCAGGTTTGCTACAAATCTGTTCAATCTGTCCTGCAAGTTCTTTGTCAAGGTACTAGATTGAGGCCTAGTCCAACGAGTTCCAAATTGGCTCCTGAATTGAGCATCCTCTGTTGCTTCCTTTTGCAAGAGCTCTTCAGTTTGGACTAGCAGCTCATGATTCACCCTCCTCAGATCTCTGAGTTGCTGTAGCTCAGCTTCAAAGGCAGCTGGACCCCCACAAATTTGTACTGCTTCTAGATCTTCTCTCAGAGCACTCGGTAGATTGCAGTTTCCCTCCAAAGCAAGAATTGAATCAGGAAGGTCCATTTCCTTGAGCCTCACACGGGCTAATTCACTTCCCTGTTGTAGCTTCTCAGTTTGGGTCCTGATGACATCATCAACAATTTCAGTATACCTTGAAAGAGCTTTGGCACTGCTGTCAGGGACAAGACTGGCAAACATCTTTTCCTTGCTTGCATCCAGAACCTCATCCATGGGCATCGGTTTGACCATTGAAAATGCTGGAAGAGATGTCAAAGAACTAGCTGGAGGGACCCTCATGAGATAAACTCTGTTATTCTCCTTCACAGCTCTTTCCAGGTTATTATTTAAGTTTGTCTCTAATTTGTTTGCAGCTTCCATTAGCTGCGGAACTGCACCCTTTGGTGATGATTTTTTTGCTTCGGACAAAGCACTAATCCCACACTTCAACCTTGCGATCTCCTCAGCAATCTCTTCTTTTCCATGGAGTTCTAGACTATATCTATAACAAGCCTCTGCATAAAACAAGGCTGCCTTAAGCTGAACATGTGTTAACCAGGCTTTGTCAAAATGGTGATTCAGAGGTGCAGAGTTTAATGCGGCCAAAGCTTCTTCATAATACATCCCAACCTGTATTATATAGATATATGTCCATTTTATGGTCAACGAATTGTAGCAATTGCTAACGCTTGGAAAGTAAGCCTTGTGATTGACATAAATTGTCAAAATAACTACCTCAAAGCTACGTTCCTAGTTACTGCATGTCTACCTAACTCCACACCACCCCATATTAATAGAAAAGCCTTATTTGTGCCAAAGAAAAGATAGTTGTTTGATTTTCAAAAAGAGACCCAATAATGTAACTTTAATTAGACAAACTGATAACTGAAAAACTAACCAATGACTTATAAAAATTGTAGCTTGTTTAAAATAAAAGGTTGTACTACGGTAAAACATGGCTCTTCTTTTGGGATGGAGGTAGTGGCATGAGCTTATTCAGTTCTACGGAAAGCATGATTTTTTTGAAAATTAAAAAGGCAGTCCCCCCGTCCTAAAAGAGCCATATTTCAAAAACGTTTGTCCTAAGAATACGAGTCAAGGTCTCAAGGAAGCTAATTTTGGCAAGCCATTGCGAGAAAAAAGTCAAATACATTTTAAATAAGACTCATTTGCTCAAACCAACAATTAAATTTTAAAACTACAACCCCGTTGAATCCACGGGAGTATGGTCTGGGCCCCTACTCTGACGTACGGAGACTATTTTGAAGAGACCCCTGGCTCAACAACTTACTTTTCAAACACGTAAATATGACTCATGATTTATAACACTTTTATTTCACCAAAATTTAAAAGGTGTGAACTTTTCAAGGAGGACTACTTTTGGTAATACGAAAAATTAGAAAACAGTAAGAAACTAACAAAATTTGCCTACCTGTCTAGAGATTTTTGAAGAAACCCCAGGAGTGCTTCCCTTGGCAATAGTATTCTCAAAAACACATTCCTGAGCTTGAGCAAGCATCAGCTTTTCCAACATCCCAGCACACTCCACAGAGATATCCACAGTGGTGGAGTTCCCCAGCGATGCCTTCATTGCTACCTTCTCTCTCAAGAAATTGAATGCCCCGGCTGCCGCCATAAATGAGTGTGATGCCTGCCTTCTCCCATCAACAGATGATCGATCAAAACTCAGTCCCATTTGACTGTGAACTGACCCCAAATTAAACAGAACCGCTGCCTTTTCTATATAGAAACACAAAGTCCATTTATCACTATAACCAAATGTCACATATTAACAGGAATAACAATGCAACTGCACAATGTCAAGTAGTCACTACCAAATGCCTATTGCACTTGATGCCAATTGTCACGATTACCCTCACACCAAAATACCAAATAGTACCCAATGTTCTAACCTATGTTACGAATAAGGCACTCGGCAGGCACAGATTGGAAATTAGTGTAAAAGAAAGTTCAGATTAGGTGAACCT